TGGAGCTGGGGCTGTGGTGTAGCAGATAAAGCTGCAACCTGCAGTGCTGGCATCCCATGTGGGCACTGGTTCAAGTCCCAGCTGCTCAATTTCCCATCCAGCTCTCTGCTATGGCTTGGGAAAGCAGTAGAAGACAACCCAAATCCTTGGGCCCCTGCACCTGCGTGGGAGACCTGGAAGAAGCTCCTGGCTTTGGATCGGCCCAGCTACCGCCGCTGCGGCCATCTGAGGAATGAACCAGCAAATGGAAGACCTCTCTCATTCTCTCTGCCTCTGCCTCTCTGGAACTCTGCCTTCAAATAAATAAATAAATAAATAAAATATTAAAAAAGAATAAAAACCATATGATCATCTCAATATATCCAGAAAATACATTGGATACAATTAAACATTCTTTCATGATAAACAGTATGGACATAACAAAGTCCATATATAATAAACCAACAGTTAACATCATGCTGAAGGCTTTCCCTCTGAATTGTAGAACAAGATAATGATATCAGCCAGCGCTGCAGCTCACTAGGCTAATCCTCCGCCTGCGGCGCTGGCACCTGGTTCTAGTCCCAGTCTGGATGCCAGATTCTGTCCCAGTTGCTCCTCTTCCAGTCCAGCTCTCTGCTGTGGTCTGGGAGTGCAGTGGAGGATGGCCCAGGTCCTTGGGCCCTGCACCCGCATGGGAGACCAGGAGAAGCACCTGGCTCCCGGCTTCAGATCAGCACGATGCGCCGGCCGCAGCAGCCATTTGGGGATGAACCAACGGAAAAAAGGAAGACCTTTTTCTCTGTCTCTCTCACTGTCCACTCTGCCTGTCAAAAAAAAAAAAAAGATGTCTACTCTAACCGTTTTAGTTCAATATGCTCAGAGTCCTAGCCAGATCAGTTAGGCAAGAGGAAGAAATAAAGCATATCCAAATAGGAAAGGAGAAAGTCAAATTGTCGCTGTTAGCAAATGATAATGTTCTTCTATGCAGAAAAGCAAAGACTGCACCAAAAACTATTAGAAGTAATAAATGAATTAAGCAAATCTGCAGGTTACAAAATCAGTAGCATTGCTATCCGTCAGTAGTGAGTTGTCTGAAAGAAATATTAAGAAGGTGGGGCAAGTGCTTGGAATAGCAGTTAGATGCCCATGTCCCGTATTGGAGTTTGTGGGTTCAGACCCCGGCTGTGCTGCTGATTCCAGCTGTGTGTAATGTGGACGCTGGGAAGCAGCAGTGATGACTGAAGTGTCTGAGTTCTTGCCACCCACGCGGGAAACCTCTGTTGAGTTCCTGGCTTCTGCTTTAGCCCCCACCCCAAGGCCCTCCTACTTTTTCTCTCCCTCTCAAATAAGTAAATTAAGAAAGAAATCAATTTTCAATGGATAGCCTCCAAAAAAACTAAAATACCTAGGAATAAATGTAACCAAAGAAATGAAATATCTCTACAATGAAAATTACAAAACATTCATGAAAACTTGAAGAGAACAGAAAGAAATGGAAATGCATCTGCTGTTCACAGATTAGAAGAATCAGTATTGTTAAAATGTCCATATCAACCAAAAACATCTACAGATTCAAAGCAACCCCTATCAAAACTAATGACATGCTTCACATAGTTAGGGGAAAAAATCCTAACACTCATTTTAGAAATGGGGGAAAAAAAACCAGAATTGCCAAAGCAATATTAAACAAAACAAGCAGAGCAGGTGGCATTATTGTCACCTGGCTTCAAAATATGCTACAGTGTTATAGTGATGAGAGTCCAATGGAGTTGGCACGAAAACAGACACATATCCCAGTGAAACAGAATATAGAGCGGAGAAGAGCACCCGTGTGTGAAGCCTACTGATTTTTGACAGAGGTGCTAGGAGTATGCTTTGGAGAAAGGACAGTCTTTTCAATAAATGGTGCCGAGGAAGTTGAATATCCACATGTATAAGAATGAATTAGGTCTCCTTTCACCCCCTACCTCTTACCATTTACAAAAATCAGTTCCAATTTGATAAAAGACTTAATTGTCAGAACTGAAACCATGAAACTACTGGAAGAAAATAAAGGATAAGTACTTCAGGATGTTGTAATGGGAAAGGATGTTTTGTATAATATCTCAATAGCACAGGAAAGGAAAAGCAAAAATGACATAAGGAATTTCATCAAACTAGAAAGATTGCACAGAACCAAGGAAACAATCAACAAAGTGAAGAGAAAATGTTTGCAAGTGAAATATCTGATAAGAGGTTAATAATCAGAATATATAAGAAACGCAAACAACTCTAGAACAACAACAAAAAAGAACAACCTGATTTTAAAATTGGCAATAGCCCCAAGCAGACGTTTTTCAAATGAAGACACACAAGGTCTGTCCAACAGGTACTTGAAAAAAATGCTTAGCACGACTGATCGTCAGAAAAATGCAAATCAAAGCCCCAGTGAGATATCACCTCCCTCCAGTTAGAATGGCTGTACTCAGTCAGACAAAAGATAGCAAGTGCTGGCAAGGACTTGGAGAAAAGGAAACCCTTGCACACTGTTTTGTGGACAACAATACTTGAGCCATTGTGGAAAACAGTACTGGGGTTCCTCAAAAAGCTAAAAATAAAACTACCATATAATCCAAGATTCCCACTACTGGGTATTTATCCAAAGGAAATGGAATCTGTATGTCAAAGAGACAGCTCCATCCCCCATGTTCATTGCATCACCATTCACAATGGCTAAGAAATGGAAACAGCCCCAGTGTCCATCAACTGATGAATGTGTGTGGCAAATATGTATACATACACACTATGGAATATTATTCAGCCATTAAAAAAGGATGAAATCCTGTCATTTGTGACAACATGGGTGGAACTTAGGGGTCATTATGTTGAGTGAAATAACCCAGGCACAGAAAAGTAAATAGCACATGATCTCACTCACATGTGAACTCAAGACATTGATCCCGCAGAAGCTGAGAGTAGAATGGTGGTGAGAGGGATTCAGGAAAGGGATGATAAAAGGATGATTTGTAGATACCAAGTTGCAAGTAGATAGCAGAAAGAAATTCTGGTGTTATATTGCACAGTATGGTAACTATAGATAATGACAAGGGACCATATATTTACTTTTAAAGTCTAGAAGAAAGGATTTCAAATGTTTTTACTACAAAGAACTAATAAAAGTTTGAGGAAATAGGTGTATTTATCTTGGTTTGAACATTATGTAATGTATCAAAACATCACATAGTACCCCATAAATATGTACAATTTTTATCAGTTTAAAAAATTTTTTAAATGTATTTGTCAGCCGGCGCCGTGGCTCACTAGGCTAATCTTCCGCCTTGCGGCGCCTGCACACAGGTTCTAGTCCCGGTCAGGGCGCCGGATTCTGTCCCGGTTGCCCCTCTTCCAGGCCAGCTCTCTGCTGTGGCCCAGGAGTACAGTGGAGGATGGCCCAAGTGTTTGGACCCTATACCCCATGGCAGATCAGGAGAAGCACCTGGCTCCTGGCTTTGGATCAGCGCGGTGTGCCGGCCGCAGCAGCCATTGGGGGATGAACCAACGGAAAAAAGGAAGACCTTTCTCTGTCTCTCTCTCTCACTGTCCACTCTGCCTGTAAAAAAAAAAATCTATTTGTCTAATCTTGTACTTGGAATGAATCTTTTACCTGTGCATGATTTTGTGGTAGTGTTCATTGGTTGTTTATAAACTGGTGATTCACTGAGTTATGCGGATCTTACAAAGAGTGACATATATCATGATATCATAACAAAAAGTCGCATTTGTTAATATCACCACCAATCTCATTGGGAAATGCTTCAAGATTTTAGAGGCCATAAAGCTTATGGCAGTGAAAACAAGTTTTACAAAATTCATATTTTCACTTGAATTTTATAATTGGCAACAGACACTATCAAGTATTGTCCTTGAAGTGACAGGTTACTCCATTCAATTTTTGTTAAAGTTCTGCCATAAATGAGGATGAATAAACATAGTTTTTGAGTTGTTTTTCCAAGAAAAAAAAAAACTGTTCTATGACAATTGCAGAAATATAGGTTGAGGGCCTGTAATTCCCATAGGGAGAATTGAAGCTTTATTCTGTTAATAAGAGGAAAGTTGCTTGAGCCAGAGAGTGACATAATTAAAGAAATATACTAAGGAAATCCATGTGATGATGATAAGAAAGTTTGAATTTCAATGAAGAGATTCAGGGTTTGCACTGGGATGCAAGCCAATAAATGTTCCAAGCAGAAATCATGTTGATAATAGTCTACTTCTCAAACTGGTAGATACAGGGGTGTTTTATTACTCTACAGCTCATGTAAGCCTTGGCTACATATATTCTGTTATCAAATATTAAGTTAATAAGACCATATACATGCAATCCCTATGATATATTCCTACAATTCATCACATGAGCTCTCCCAACACAAGTTAGGCAGGTGTTTGTCACAGTAGTAAAGACACCTCTTGGGGCATCAACAGCACACATCAGCAACCTGAGTCAAGTCTCTTCTGCTTCCAGTCCAACTTTCTGCCAGTGCACACTCTTGGAGGCAGCAGCAGATGGCCCAGCTGCCACCCATGTAGAAAATCATTGTGGGCAAGTGGGGACTGAACCAGTGTATGAAAGATTTCCCTTTCTCTAGTTCACTTTCTCTCTCTCTCTCTCTCTGTCTCTCTCTCTGTCTCTCTCTTGCTATGTGTGTCTCAATCTCTCTGCATTGTAAATAACATGAAAATAAATAAATCTTTAAACATAATTACTAGTATGGAATTTCCTTCCTTAGGTACCTCATTTGTCTAGAATAAATAGATATGGAATTTTTAAAAATATCTCCTCATAGCCCAATGATATTTTTTGGTTATCAGAAAAGCATTCATAGTTACATTTCATGTGGCAGTAACCTTAGCTGATAAAGTTATTGACAGATAATTTTATGACCTGCATTAGTCACCTGATTACTTTTGTTAAATAATAATGAATCCGTATTCTCATAAGTTGATAATTTCATTAAACTTTTAAAATTTATATTTTACAGGTTATATCATCACAGAAATACCATCACTTTCTCAGGACGCCATGACTGCTTTGCAGCAAATAGAATTAATTAAAAACTTGAAATTCAAGCCTGATGTTATAATCAATATTAAGGTAAGGATGTTAGCTGTTTTTTCTAGGATAGTGAAGCCTCGTTTTGAAAGCAGTTGAATTCGAGGAATGTCCTCAGAACTGTTCAAGTTTCTGTGCTGCTGTGCACCAACCACGGGGCCGGGCTCTGCTTTCTGGTATTCCGCAGCTCCATCCACATCAAGCACTTGCCTCTTCAGCAGGCATGATCATAGCCGTCCTTTGAGAGTTTAGTCCAGGCATCACCTCTGGAAATTTGCCTGACAATCTCTCTCTCTATCCCCCTCTCTCTTTCCCTCTCTCTCTCTTTCCCTCTCTCTCTCTTTCCCTCTTTCTTTCTCTCTCTCCCTCTCTCTCTCTTTCCTTCTCTCTCTCTTTCCCCCTCTCTCTTTTCTTCTTTCTCTCTCTTTCCTTCTCTCTCTCTTTCCCCCTCTCTCTCTTTCCCCCATCCCCTCTGTGTGTGTGTGTGTTATCTCTGCCTCTCCTTCTCCCTCTTTTCCTTCTCTCTCTCTCTCTGACCCTCCATCTCTGTCACCAACCACAGGAGAGTTAATTGCCTCCCTGATCACAGTTCCTGTTGCTCTCTTCTACCGTACTCCTCAGCTCACTGTATTCAGTCGTCCAGTTTTCTCCTGGACTCATTTGTCTTACCAGAAGGCAGGAACCATATCTTATTCATAGCCAGCGCACTGCATGGTCATCAGTGAGCCCTAATAAGTTTACCAATTAAATGAAATGAGAGAACAGACAAAGGACTTAGCTATGTGGATGTTAATGAATACTACTACATTGATTGAGCCAAGACTAGGTCCTTTCCTCGATTCTCTCTTTTATTAACTATTAGAATTTGGTAAGTCACATTTAGAAACCTCAGTTCTCTTTTCAAAGGTGACTATAGCTGCTTCCTGGGGTTGTGATAAGAATTCAGAGAGGTGACATGTACATGGTAATGTGAAAATGAACACAAAGCTTTTCTATTCATACCCTACCTGACTCCCCAAAGGGTTTATGACACTTTGAAGTAAATTAGATGGTCCTTAGTGTCGCTCCCCCTCTTCACGGAGGAACGACACAGGACCCTGGGCTGTTCTTTTGTCTGCTCGGCCCTCCCCGGGTTTGCTGCTGGTTCTTCCCGGGTTGGCTACCGATCCTTCCACCTCTGTGGAAGGGCGGTTCCCCCTGCCACTTTCCCCACTTCCGTGGGGGAGCGGCACACCGCCGGCCGGCTCTCTCAGGGGCTGCACAGGTGTTCCTTCAGATAGATGTTCCTGGTGCATGTTGTGTCTTTCCTCCTTTATAGTCCTCTTCCACCAATCCCAACTCTGCTACCCACACACCGAGTACACTGCTCTCCTCCAATCAGGAGCAGGTCCTATAGTTTATTGGTTGAACTGGAGGCAGCTGTGTAGAAGCTGTTTACTCCTCTCCCAGCGCCATATTGTGGGAGAGCAGATGTATAGAATAAGTCTTAATTCCAGTAACAGTCTAGTCCGAGTTGCTCCCCACAGATCCCCCTTTCTTTTTATTTTTGGCGTTGATATGCGCCTGTCTTCGGTGCCCCGCGGCACACACTCTGCTCTGCTTGCTAGAGTTTCCCACAGGTGCTTACAAGCCCTACCAATCAGGCAAACCGAATCCAGGTCCTCTCTTCGCCATGTTGAGGAGGTTTTTAGGCGCTGATGCGTGCCTGTGTTCAGTGCCCTGCAGCGCATGCTAGAACTGCCTGCAGGTGCTTACAAGCCCTACCAATCAGGCAAACCAAATCCAAGCCTTCTCATTGCCGTATTGTGGGGAGACTTATTGATGTTGATTCGTGCCTATCTTCGGTGACCTGCAGCTCATATGACCTGCAGCTCATACTCTGGTCGAGCTGCCTGCTGGTGCTTATCGCCTAATCAGGCAGACCGAATCCAAGCTCTCTCATTGCCATGTATGGGGAGGCCTTATTTTTCTCTATTTCTCTATCTCCGGGCATTCCTATTTCTCCTATTTTACTTCTATCTACCAGCATTCCTATTTCTCTCATTTTATTTCTAAACTTCTGTTTCTCTTACCCCCATGGCTTCCCGGCGCCCGCCCCGAGGCTGCTTCTCGGGGCCTCGCCCCGCGGCGGCTTCCCGGCTCTGCACGGCTTCAGCCCGCGCTTCTCGCATCTGCGCGGCTTCCCGGCTTCGCGTGCGCTCCGCGGTCTCTGCGCCCTTCGCGCACGCACCACGGCCCCGCGCCAGCCCCGCACTTCCTACTCGCGCCCCGTGCGCTCTCCCCGTTCGTGCCCCACACGCTCTCTGCGCACGGCGGCTTCCGCGAGTCACACAGCCTAGCTCACGTTTCCGCCACTGGTATTCAGTCTAAGTTCTCCAGGCTAACCTGGCGAATTCAACCTAGCTCACATCTCCGCTTCGGTTTGGCTTCCCGTCTTTTGTTCCCTGGGCTAATCTGACGGATTCCAACCTAGCTTACGCGTCTCCGCCTCTGGTTTTAGCTTTTCGCCTTTTGCTCCCCGGGCTGACTTGACGAATCCCAAGCTAGCTTACGTCTCCACTTCAGCCTGCCCCTGCGGCTTCATCCTCCCTAACATATTTTTCTCTACCTAGTATGTTTCCTAACTTTTCTTCCAACAATATTCCCCTCTCATTTCTCCTGGTTTCTCCCCACAGTCCGTATCCGAGTCTAAGTTCCTTCTAGCTTTCACTTTCACTTTCGACCTTAGAGATTTCTCCCAGCTTCCCCGCCATAGTCCGTATCTGAGTCTAAGTTTCCTCCAGCTTTCACTTTCGCTTTCAATCCTAACTTCTTCCGGCACTTTTTCCGTCCGGCTTTTCCCTAGGCTCTTTGCTAGTCTCTCTCTCTCTGGTATTTTCCCGCTTCTTCCCTCCTAGGTTTCCTATCCGAGTCACGGCACCATTATGTCACTCCCCCTCTTCGTGGAAGAACGACACAGGACCCTGCGCTGTTCTTTTGTCTGCTCGGCCCTCCCCGGGTTTGCTGCTGGTTCTTCCCGGGTTGGCTACCGATCCTTCCACCTCTGTGGAAGGGCGGTTCCCCCTGCCACTTTCCCCACTTCCGCGGGGGAGCGGCACACCGCTGGCCGGCTCTCTCGGGGGCTGCACAGGTGTTCCTTCAGATAGATGTTCCTGGTGCATGGTGTGTCTTTCCTCCTTTATAGTCCTCTTCCACCAATCCCAACTCTGCTACCCACACACCGAGTACGCTGCTCTCCTCCAATCAGGAGCAGGTCCTATAGTTTATTGGTTGAACTGGAGGCAGCTGTGTAGAAGCTGTTTACTCCTCTCCCAGCGCCATATTGTGGGAGAGCAGATGTATAGAATAAGTCTTAATTCCAGTAACAGTCTAGTCCGAGTTGCTCCCCACACCTTAGCTCAGGTTTCAGGACTCGCTGGAGTGTCAGGATCGCTGTGAGAGACAGGTGGCCTTGCAGAGCTTAGCCAGCTCCAGGCACAACACAGGACCAAGGGCCACATTCCCCAGGGGGGCAGAGAGTAGGAGCTGCAGTTACATCACTTGCACATCTGTATCCTGTATTGTGCCTGAGTTCCAGTCCCAGCTCTGCTCCCCATTCCAGCTTCCTGCCAATGTGCATCCCAGTTGACATTTCAAGTGCCTGGGTCCCTACCACCCACGTGGGAGATCTGGATTGAGTTCCCAGCTCCTGGCTTCAGCATGGCTCAGTCCTGGCTGTTGCAGGCATTTGGGGAGTGAACCAGCAGATGGGAGTTCTGTCAGTCTCCCAAATGAATTAAAAAAAAATTAATGAATAAGTAATTTTTAAAGGTCCTGAGAAAATGTTGTGACTATCACAAGTGTGAATATGTGCATAATGAAGAGAAGATCTCCACTAACTGAAACCAAATATAAAGTCTAAGCCAGGGAAAATATGGGTTAAATAGGAAAGTAAAACCAGGTAGAAAGGCAGCATGTAGATACATGAGGATATTTCACACTGTTTGTGGAAAACTGGAGTTTAAAGATAAGTTTATTTTAGTGTAATAACATTTTGAAATCTATGCATAGTTTTTTTTTTTCTTGTATTTATTTAAAAGGCAGTTACAGAGGGAGAAGCAGAGAGAGAGAGAGAGAGAGAGAGAGAGAGAGAGGGAGATTGATCTTCCATCTGCTGGTTCATTCCCCAAATGGCCACAGTGGCCAAGGCCGAGCCAGGCCGAACTCAGGAGCTTCATCCAGTTCTCCCAAGTTGGTGGCAGGGGACTGAGTAGCTGGACGAGAAGTGGAGCAGCTGGGACACAAACCAGCACTCATATAGGATGCTGGCATTGCAGGCGCAGCTTAACTCTCTAAACTACAATGTCGGCCCCTATGCATACTTTTTTCATAATATACATTTTCCATGATCTTTGTGAAGACCTCTTATATGCTTGGATTTAAAAGAAATTTACACCGAAACAAACTTCTCTTTTAATTCCATTTTTCATGAACTTTTTGAAGTCCCCTCCCTCCTACAGGGCAGAAGGCCCCCAAATGCATTACTAAGTTTGGGTCATCAATTTTGTCGTATGTTCTGTGAGCCAAAGTGAAAAAGGAAATATGACCAGTATAAAATTCATATTGTCCATTAGAAGATAAAGCAGTCCTCCTGAAGAAATAAAACTCCCACTAAAAATGAGATAAATACCTTACATGGATATCAACGTAGTGAGTGGAGTGCTTAAGCCCATCATGCTGTCAAGATAAGAGTGAGTGTCCTGGGGCAGTGTCTGCAGGGTAACCGGAAGACCTGATGTGAGACACACTTAGCACAACACTTCTTGGATGGTTTGGCCTCTTTGGGAATATGCCTGGAATTCTGGGGCTGGGGATCCGTGAATCCCTGAGCATCTGTATTAGTTTATTTCCTGTTGCTCTAATAAAATAATACCTGAGGCTGGGCAATCATAAAGAGAATAATTTAGCTCACAGTTCTGGAGGCCCAAGAGCGTCTAGCACCTGCTCTGCTTGCAGTGAGAGCCTCATGGCCCAAGGCAGGTGGGTGCATGGGAAGAGAGGCGCACATGTGAGAGAGAGAGTGCTGGTGCCAGCCACACTTTTTTGTTTTTTTTTTTAAAGATTTTATTTATTTGGAAGACAGAGTTAGAGTTACATACAGAGAGAGAGAGAGAGAGGGAGAGAGAAAGAAGGATCTTCCATCTGCTGGTTCAGTTCTCAAATGGGCACAACAGCTGGGGCTGGGCCAGGCCGAAGCCAGGAGCCAGGAGTTTCTTCCAGATCTCACGTGTGGTTGCAGGGGACCAAACACTTGAGCCATATTCTGCTGCTTTTCCAGGTGCATTAATGGGGCGCTGCATTGGAAGTAGAGCAGCTAGGACTGGAACCGGCACCCATATGGGATGCCAGCACTGCAGGCAGTGGCTTAAACCACTATACCATGGTGCCAACCCCAGCCTCACTTTATAACAACCCACTCTCCCTCTAACTTACCCACTCTCCAGGGAACTGCATTAATCCCTTCAAGAAAGCATAGCCCCTGTGACCGAATTACCTCCTACAGGTGCCACCACCTCTCAATTCCCTTATACTGGAGACCAAACCTCAGAGTCAGCTTTGTTGGAGATAAACCAAATTCAAACCATAGCAGCATCCATAAACCTCTGAAATTATATGCAAGATCTTATATGTATGTGCATTTTTCCAAAGTAAATACCTTTGGCTTTTATCATATTGTAAGGGGTGGGGAATTTTTTACCTGCCAAGTCTCATTCTGATATTTGTAACATCATGCACAGATCAAGCAAAATTATCAACTTAGAAATTAGCCTGTTAAACATTGATTGAATTTCAAGTTCCACCTGTCCAAATGATTTCATGAGGGCCAGACAGGTCTGTGTTATATATTAAAAAAAAAAAAAAAAAAAAAAAGGAAGGGAGGGAGGAAGAAAGGAAGGGAGGAGGAGAGAGAGAGGAGAGGGGAGGGAAGAGAGGGAGGAGAGGGGAAGGGAAGGGATGAGGAGAGGAGAGGAGAAAAGGGGAGAGAAGGGGTGGGGGAGGGAGGGAAAGAGAGGGGAGAAGAGGGGAGGGAAGGAAGAGAGCTGAGGGCCAGCAGCCTGCTAGAACAGCAGTTCTCACAGCGCTGTCACAGATTCAGTGGCATCAGTAGCACCCAGAAGCTTGTTCAAAATGCAAAACCTCAGGCCTCCACCCCCAGAACTGAGAACCAGGCACAGTGGAGGTATAGTACCCAGCTATATGTGTTGCAGAGTTGGCCATGTGACTCTGAAGCCTGCTAAAGGTTCAAGACCCCTGCTCTGGTCCTTAGACTGACTCCTTATAAGGTCATGGCCTACAAGTGAAAACAGGAGACAGCTGAGGGTCTTTGCCAAGGGGACTTTGTCAAGGATGCAGAATATGAATATCTTGGGTTGCAAATATAGGGTACTTTAACAAGTTCATGGAAAATAGAATTAAAAGTTTATTTTGGTGCAAAAAAACCCAAACCTGAAATCCATGCATATAAGAGATCTGCAAATGTTCATGGAAAATGCATATTATGAAAAAATTATGTATGGATTTCAAATATTTTTGTACCACAATAAACTTATCTTTTAGTTCCAATTTTTCACAGACTTTTTGAGATACCCTTGTACCTATGTTTTAAAATTACCTTAGTGAGGGGACCGGCGCCGTGGCTCAATTGGTTAATCCTCCGCCTGCGGCGCCGGCATCCCATATGGGCGCCATGTTCTAGTCCCAGTTGTTCCTCTTCCAGTCCAGCTCTCTGCTGTGGCCTGGGAAGGCAGTGGAGGACAGCCCAGTTGCTTGGGCCCTGCACCCGCATGGGAGACCAGGAGGAAGCACCTGGCTCCTGGCTTCGGATCAGCGCAGTGCTGGCCATAGCAGCCATTTGGGGAGTGAACCAATGGAAGGAAGACCTTTCTCTCTGTCTCTCTCTCTCTCACTGTCTATAACTCTACCTGTCAAAAAAAAAAAATCTTAAAAAAAAATTACCTTAGTTGAAATCCTCTTTGTTATAAATTATAAACCCCAAATAAAAGTCTGGCTTAATAAATACCCATCCCATGTCCACATAATGGTGAGAAGAAGACATCAAAAAATGAGCAAGAAAGGTTCCAAAGATCCTTGCTTCCTTTGTTTCATAAAGTGTGGTGTATGAGCTCTTGGCATCAGAATCATGAGAATGCCTATGAAAGTGCCCAGTCCTTTCTCCAAACTTAGTACGTTCCAAGGAGGAGCAGAAATCATTATTTGGCAAGCTCTCCAGGTGAGTCATATCCAGTTAGACCTGAATGCTAGTGAATCCTTGCCATAGAGTATCAGCCACACTTTGGTCACCCTGAAAAATACTCAGAGCAGGATTTACAGCCCCAAATCATTATCCCCAGGGAAGCACCCACCGAGCCTGGTCTGTGGATCAGGAGGCCTGGCTCCAAGTTGGATCCTCCAGAGGACACTGATCCGAGACCAGTCTCTCACCCTGCCAGAGCTATACTTCTTTGATCTGCAAAATGGCTTTCATCATAATCTTGAATGATTTCATCTTGTGGGGGTAGTTTGAGAATGAAATAGAATTAATTACACACATGAAATAACTTTGAAACAAAAATTCCTTATATACTTTTGATTTGGGCTTTCTTTTTCTTTAACTGTCTAGAACTCAGTTTTCTGACTTAGAAAACTTAGAGGTTAACCCAGAATAGATGATCTTTCAAGTAGCATTCATGGTGGGCATTTTATGAAACACTTCACCCATATAGCTGTAAATGTTGCCATTGCACAATATTATTTTGTTGGAAATATGTGGCTCTTCCCCCATTTTCCTCCACTCAGACTTTTCAAGCTAATTTTATAGAATCTTTCTGTGTACCTTAGAAGATTAAACTGTCTATGCTATTTCTCCACTCTTTCTACTGTTCTAACCTTCTTTCTTCATCTTAAAACTTCTGGTACTTTGTTCTGTGTTTTAATATCAGAGAAATGAAAATGTTGGCGTAGCATATAGGCTGCAGCTTTTGCCTCTCCTGGCATATAGTGAGACATGATGACATATGCCAGCCACCAATTGCACTTGCTCAAGTTTTTAAGATGTTTTCAGGTTTATGTACTACATAATATGTGAATAGGAATTAAAAGCCTATCAGAATATTTTAAGTAATTAAATAATATTGTACCTTAGTGCCCTGACTATGATTTATGCCAAAGAATTTCTGGACAAAGACAGCACAGTAGTACGGGGTACATATATACTAGAGACCACTGGGATCCTGAAGTTATCGAGAGTCGTAGGAAAAAGAAGAAAGAATTACAAAAAGAAGGAAAAGGAGAAGATGAGGGAGAAGAGGAAGAGGAACAAGAAGAAGAAGAGGTAATATCCCAATAGATCATTCCATACCATACTCTTTTAATATTCTATAATTATATTAAATGATAACATGGATAATAGAAAATAACAGATACAAGAGAAAGTTACATTATATTTTTATTGAGTCTGGAGGAAATAAGCAAAAAAAAAATTTCATGTTCCCCAAAACTATTGTATCACAATCTTGAGGTCAAGTTTAATTGTTCTTCTACATTCTAACAGCTAGTCTGCCTCATTTCATAGCCACAGTTTTTGGTCACCTGCTATGTGTCAAACTCCATGTAAACTAGAATTAGGAGTTAGGGAATAACAATAAAAGATGAAGTATAATATGTGGAGCAAAGTAGCCCAGGCATAATTCAATCTCTGGGGCTAACACATTCCTGGTTCCAAATTCTGACAAAGAGCTTATGAAAAGAAATCTGTGGCCATATATGTGTATGTATATGTGTAGATATTTGTGTGTGTGTATATGTGTGTGTGTGGTTGTTGGAACAAACCTAAAGTAAATCTAGTAAACAATGTATGTCAAGAATCTTCTACTGTGACTTAAAGAGAAAATTTTGAAATCTGTTAACAAGTATGGGCTGTATTTGGCCCACAGGGGTGTAAATGGCCATTGTTTACCATTCCCTGCTCTAGTGAAAATGTGTCTGTTATTAGCTATTTTTCTTAGGTCTAGACTCTGTGAAATCAAATGTTAACCTGTAGATGGAGACATTGCAAATCATCTGTCTAGTAGAACGATAACCCCCATAGGTCACAGTCTTACTGCCCTATAAGGCGGTAAGTAGCCTTGTAACATAACTTTTGCAGTCTTATTTCAGAGATTATAAATAATTCTGCTTTGCTATCCTGTTGGTTCCCTCACTAATGGGTTAAATAAGTCTTTGACAAGTGTTCTTTTAGCCCACTTAAAAACATAATATGATCTCACTTGTGGAAAGAAAGTATTGGATAATAACCAGCATCTATTCCAGATTTTTTTAGCCATTTTTAAAATTTTTAATTAGTTCTTAACAGATTCAATGTGATTTGTAGATACAATTCTAAACACGTAATGATATTCCCTTCCTCTCTCTCTTCCTCCCTTACCCTCTCTCCCTCCCACCCTCCTTCCTTCTCTCTTTTTTTTTTAGCTTTTGAGATAACATGCTTTAAATTTACACTATGGTAAAAAGGCTTAATACTTTACCAAATAAGAAGTTTAACAATTAAAAAGCAAAAAGAGCCTAGTAAAGAAGGAATATAGACAACAGTTATAAATAATAATTGAATGGAAAAATGAGCATTTCACCCATATACAGTAAATTTTAGAGTAATCACAGATCATTAAATCTATAGTAGTATAACATTCTTAACCATTGGTTCCACAAAAGTATGAAAGAGTTTTATGAAACTATACAATATTGATACACATAGACATTTCTTTCTCTTTTTTGTTTGCTTTTTAAATTTTAACTCCCACATATAAGGGAGAACATGTGGTGTTTGTTTTTCTGGGTCCAGTATATTTCACTCAACATGATGTCCTCCAGTTGTGTCCATTTTGCTGGAAATGATAGAATTTTGTTCTTTTTTATAGCTGAATAATATTCCATTGTGTATTTATACATTCTTGTCAGCATTTGTTACTCTCTGTGTCTTGGATTTTTGCCATTCTGGCAGGAGTGAGGTGATATCTCATTGTAGATTTGATTTGTATTTCTTTGATGGCTAGTGAAGTTGAGCATTTTTTCATCTTTTTGTTGGCCATTTGAGAAAACAAGCCTGAAATTCATATGGAATCACAAAAGACCCAGAATAGCCAAAGGGATCCTGAACAAGAAAAATCAAGCCAGAGGCATCACAGTACATGACTTCAAAGCATGCCACAAAGCTATTGTAATTAAAATAGGATGATACTGGCGTAAAAACTAATACATAGATCAATGGAACATAATAGAGAACCCAGGAATTAATCCACATACATACAGCCAATTGATTATTGACAAAAGTGCTCAGATCATGCAGTGGAGTAAAGATAATCTCTTCAATAGCTGGTACTGACAAAACCAGATATATACATATGTAGAAGAATGAAATTAGATCCATACTTCTCACCATATACAAAAATCAACTCAAGATGGATCAGAGACCTAACTTTAAGACCTGAGGCTGTTAAGTTGTTGGAAGAAAATGTAGGGGAAACACTCCAAGACATTGGTGTAGGGGATGACTTTCTGGACAACACCCCCAAAGCATAGTCAACAAAAGCAAAACTAAATAAATGGGACTAGGTCAAACTCAGAAGCTTTATACAGCAAAGGAAACGATCAATCAAGTGAAGAGAAAGCCAACAGAATGGGAAAAAATATTTGCAAACCACCTGACAAAGGATTAACATCTCAAATATATCAGCAACTTAAAAAACTCAACAACAAAAAAATCAACCAATCCAGTGAGAAATTGGCAAAGGACTACAATAGACAGTTCTCAAAATAAATACAAATGGCCAACAAATATATTCCAGCTATTTTTAAGAAAAGGAGAACCAGGGTAGGCATTTGATGCGGTGGTTAGGAAGCCAGTTGGAATGACTGCATCCTCGACCAGAGTGCCTGGGTTTAAGTCCCGACTCTGCTCCAGATTCCAGCGTCCTGCTAATGTGCACCTTGCAAAGGCAGCAGATGATGGCTCAAGGAGTTGAGTGCCTGCCACCCACGTGGACTGAGTTCCTGCCTGGACTGAGTTCCCAGTTCCCAGCTTTGGCTTGGCCCAGCCCTGGCTGCTGCAGGCATTTGGAGAGTGAACCAGCATATGGGAAATTTCTCTCTTCCTCTCTCTCAAATAAAAAAATAATAATTTTAAAAGAGAAAACCTCATAGCAAAAAGTAGAAGTAATAAAATGTGTCCTCTTGGTATAAACAGAGCAACCATCTTAAAGCCAATGTAGCACTCATATGAGGGTACTTCAGAATTACAGCAAAGTGGAATTAACATTGCTTATTTTGGTACAAAAAATCCTTGAAATTCATGCATAGTTTTTCCATAATTCACATTTTTCATTAACTTTTTGAAGATTCCTTATAGGCATAGATTTCAAAACATTTTTGTACCCAAATAAACTTACCTTTAAATTCAATTTTCCACAAAGTTTTTGAAGAACCCTCCCATGGTAAGATACAGGGGTCACAACTCCCTTAGTTCCAGGGATCAAATAAGTTTTGTCATTTGGTGATGTTGGCCAGGGATATAATCAAGAAGAATGGGGGCCGGCGCCGCGGCTCACTAGGCTAATCCTCCGCCTAGCGGCGCCGGCACACCGGGTTCTAGTCCCGGTTGGGGCGCCGGATTCTGTCCCGGTTGCCCCTCTTCCAGGCCAGCCCTCTGCTGTGGCCAGGGAGTGCAGTGGAGGATGGCCCAGGTGCTTGGGCCCTGCACCCCATGGGAGACCAGGAAAAGCACCTGGCTCCTGGCTCCTGCCATCGGATCAGCGCGGTGCGCCGGCCGCAGTGCGCTGGCCGTGGCGGCCATTGGAGGGTGAACCAACGGCAAAAAGGAAGACCTTTCTCTCTGTCTCTCTCTCTCACTGTCCACTCTGCCTGTCAAAAAAAAAAAAAAAAAAAAAAAAAAGAAGAATGGGAACTAGCTTAGGTTAGAGTTACACTGTCCAATACGGGAGCCACTAGCTGTAGGTGACTATTATAAATTTAAATCAATTATAATTTAAAATTTAGTTCCTCGACAGCACTTAGTAACTAAATGTGGCTGTGTCTTCCTAGTTGGACCACATGGGTACACAGTGTTCCCATGGCCACAGAAAGTTCTGCGGGACAATTAGAGAGTACATGCCCCCTCTTCCGAGAACAGCTCCAGCCCAGCCAATGGCTGCCAGACACCAGATACTAGCCCATTTTTACAAGGTAGTCTGATTTTCCCAGAGAAGACCGAGATGAGAGTTAAATAATAAAAAGTTGGTAATTCATCTGAAATGTCCAAAACCCAATATAAGCCAATGCTGTGCAAGATAATCAACTTGTGTCCTTAGGCTAGCTTCAGCCTCCTGGGTCCAGGTGGCTGGGATCCCAGCCTACAGGCACAGCCACATCCAGAGTTTAGATTTGTGGATCTGCTGCCCTCAAGTCCATGGTCAGTAACCCCATTACAGTGTGTTCATCCTTGTGTACACACAAATCTAGACAACTCCCTGAACTGCTGCAATGCTTTGTAAATGTGCTCTTGGCTTCTGCTCTCCTCGATATTCCCCATCCCATTTTCATACTTTCCAGAAGCCATTTCCATTTTAGAGGAATGTAACCCTTGGTAACTTCCCATTGCCTTTAGATGAAAATCCAAACACCCTCACGCTGTTTAGAAAGCCACAGACCCAGCCTCTCTGATCTTGACCCTGGTTGCTGTCTTCCTGTCTGCTCACTGCGTTCCACATTAGCCTCCTAGCTAGTCTCGAGGGCTCTAACCAAGCTCATTTGGACCCCACGCCTTTGCATCACTGTTCCCTCGGCCCACAGCCCTCTGTTCCAGGTCTGTTTCACTTGCTGCCCCCTTCTCCCTGCCTACTCTAACTGCAGGTAGCTCATCCTCAAGAGACCAGCTGGCAATTTGCTCTGACTCAGCACTGTGTGATAGAAATATAGTACAAGCCATATGTGATTTTAAATTTACTAGAAAAAAAATGAAAGGCAAATAAAAAATAAATTTACTAGAAGTCTTGCTTTTATTAAAAATTCTTTTATTTGAAAAGTGGAGTGCTAGAGGGAGAGAGAGAGAGATCTTCCACCCACTGGTTCTCTCACCAAATGCTCACTGTAGCTGGGATTGCGCCAGGCTTTAAAGCCCAGAGCCTGGAATTCCATCTCTGCATCTCCCATGTGACAGAAGCCATGCTTTTAAAAAGTAAAAAAGAAACAAGCAAATGTAATGTTAAGAATATATTTTATTTAATCCAATATATATAATATTTTATTTCAACCTACAATCAACATAAAAATTGTAAGAATGGGAGCAGACATTCTAACCTAGTGATGCCCATGGTCCCACAATGGCACACTTGGACTTGATACCCAGCTCCAGTTCCTCACTCCAGCTCCCTGCTAATGGGAGGCAGCGACAATGGCTCAGATAATCCAGTTCCTGCCACCCATATGGAAGACCTATATTATATTCTCAGCTCCCAGCTTCAGCCCAGTGCAGTCTCAACTGGTGCAGGCGTTTGGGGAGTAAACCAACTGATGGGAGTTCTCTCTCTCTCTCTCTCTCTCTCTCTCTGTCTCCCTGTCTGTCTCTTTGTCTCTCTCTGCCTATCAAATACATAAATACAGTGAAAAACTAATTCTAAGAATGATTCACTCTGTTTTCATACCAAGTCTGTGAAATCTGGCGTGTTTACATACAGCACCCTGTAGTTTATACTTACCAAATTTCCGTTCTCAATAGATGCATGTGGCCAACAGCTACCAGTCTAACCACTTATCCTGCTTTATGTTCCTCATAGCACTTACCACTTTCTGAAATGGTGCTGCTCTTCTCCTTTCTTACTGTTTGTCCAACTACTCACTGGATGTAAACTTTGTGCATCAGGGACTCCATGGCCAGCGCCTGTAACAGTGCTTAGCAGATAGTAGGTGCTTAATATGAAGTTACATAATAGCTGACTAGCATGAATGGGAGCAGGCTGGGAAAGCTCTTTGCTAGAGAGTCAGGAGTGCCAGCAGATGTTGGAAATGACAGTGTGTATTGAGCTACTTTGAAATGTATCACCTTCAGTCCTGTCATTCTACTTTTAGAAAAGATTCTAAGGGCAATATTAGCAACATGAAGAATTATCAACAAGGCTATTTATTGCAACATTATTTATAATTATGAAAAATCAGGGGTGGGGGCGGCACCGTGGTGCAGCAGGTTAAAGCCCTGGCCTACAGCGCCGGCATCCCATATGGGCACTGGTTTGAGTCCTGGCTGCTCACTTCCGATCCTGCTCTCTGCTATGGCCTGGGAATGCAGTTAAAGATGGCCCAAGTCTTTGGGCCTCTGCACCTGCCTGGGAGGCTCGGAAGAAGCTCCTGGCTCATGGCTTCAGCTCAGTTCAGCTCTGGCCGTTGCAGTCATTAGGGGAGTGAACCAGCAGATGGAAGATCTCTCTCTCTGGCTCTACCTCTCTCTGTAACTCTATCTTTCAAATAAATCTTTTTTAAAAAATAAAGTATAAAAAAGAAAAATCTGGAACATCCTGTTGTCCAACTATAGTGTAGTAATTAAATAATCATATGTTCAATGGAATTATATGATTTGATCATGAAAATCATATTTAAAACATATTAAGTGGTTTAAATAGGTAATATGATTCAAGTTGTATAAATTATGTATATGTAGCATTGATAAAACTAGAAAAAAAGAGAAAGGTGATGATAAACATGATACAGAAAACTTGGAATGTGCCAGGCCAAGGGCTGAGAACCTTCACATGTATATCCTGTTCCCTCTGCCTTGAATGTGCTTTCTCCAGAAACTTGGGTGGCTCTGTCCGTCGTTTCTTTCTGGATTCCACTCCTAACTTAGGCAGAGCACCTGATATGAAGTAGCACCTTCTCCCTGTGACTCTCCATCCATTCACCCCAACTTTGTTCATCTTCCTAGTACTTTCTAGTCTCACCTAATATTTTATATGTTTATATGCCTACTAGTTTATGCTCTATCTTCCCCAGGTGCAGAGGGGGATTGTGAGCCCAGGGTGTAAGTTGGTTTGTTCACTGCAGAATCTGAACTTCCCATGACAGCTCCTCACACACAATAGGTGCTCAATAAATGAATGAGGGGAGAAGGAACAAGTATCCAGAGAAGAGATCTGGTTTCTGTATTTTGTGTCTAAAAATTTGACATTCCTCTCCTACTCTCCACTAATTATTGGGAGCGGAAGTCAGTGACCATCCAAGTCAATTTAAAGCTTTATTTCAGCTGATAAAGACCCCTTCAAAGTGTACAATCTCTTACTCTTAAATAAAAAACCCTCAGTCTCTAATCCTTTCCTCCCTCTGCTTCTCACCCCAAAATGGCCTCTAGGTGTAAGGAGGTAGGGATGTGTCTTGTTAGTTGAATAATCATTTACCTAAAAATATTAAAAATCTCTTCCATTTAGGCATTTATTGCTGAAATGCAGATGGTGGCTGAAATTCTTCAACACCTGGTTCAGAGGCCTGAGGATTATTTGGAAAATGTTGAGAACACTGTTAAACTTTACAAGGAAACAACTCTTCAGGTTTTGGAAGTAAGAACAAGCTATTTTGCTGAAAATGGAGATAGAGGCATTTGTGTTTTACCACGATTAAGCAGTTCACATGTCATTGTCCTCTCTGGTATCTGATTATCCTCCTGAGTGTGGTAGAACAATGTTAGAAGAAGCCTTCCACTGCAAAGGCAATTTCCCCCAGCGAAGTTCCTGGGCTCTGAAAAGGAACTCTGTTTCTGAAAGTGACAGATGAACCGAATTTTTCACAGGTCCTTAGGAGGAATGCATTTATGGATAGTAGTTGAAAACTTTAAAGAAACAATTTTGTTAAAGCACTTTCAATCCATAATTTATGGATTTAACAGAAGAAAGGTGCATTTAAGATAGACTTTTTGTTCTAAAAGAGATTCTTCCTTAGTTAAATTGCAGTTATTAGTCCTGGATTTGTTTCCATGGCCATTCCATTCAAAATTGATCATATATAAACGTGATAAGGTCATTATATATTGTAATAAAAAAGTTTTAATTAAATCAATCGGCATTTTAAAAGTATGATTGTTGAGATTATAGTTAATGAAAATCATATTTTATATAGTCAAAAATCCAGGGAAGACTCGGCCAGATACAATCAACTATGTTGGAGATTTAGTCTCCAGGGTATGTGGCCAGACGCTGTCCCAATTAATAGACTATGGAGAGAGGAAAAACAGTCCCCAGATTGCTTCTTCCCATCTGATAGAGAAACAATGATTTTTCTTTGGTGCTGTTATATAATACTTACATATTTTAAAGACAAATGTGGGGACTGGCATATATTGTAATCCATCTCCTTAACTGAGAGTTAAATTTCATTTTCTTGTATATGGCTTTTATTTGTCCCCACATCTTCTACCACTGGTGTTTAAACAGAGCTACTTAAGAGTAAATCATGTGGGCTGGCGCCACGGCTCATTGGCTAATCCTCCACCTGTGGCACCAGCACCCCAGATTCTAGTCCCCAGCAGATCACACGACAAGATCACAAGGGAGAAGGAATGACAGCTTCAATTTCATAAAGTAAGAAACTTCTATAAAGTAAATAAATGAACAAACCTTCACTCAGATTGATAGACAGCAAAAATATCCCCCCATTGACCATGATGAAGGATTTGAAGTTTTGATATACTAAAATCTTAAAGAAATTATCTTTTAAAACCTGTAAGTTCACATTCTCCTAACATAAATGGACAGCAAATATGAGCACACAATTAACAAAAATGACAGAAAAAGGGTTACAAGCTTCTAGAAAAATGTTCAGCTTCATTGTTGATAAAGAAATGCCCATGGAAGTACTGAACTAGCATTTTCATGATCCAATTTTAAACGATGAGTGCACAAGTGTTCTTAATAGCAGCAAGCATATGGTAAAGCACCCTGCTAATAAATGAGTATGGCTTTTTTTAAAAAAAAAAAAAGGTGCAGTTATCCATTTATTTATTTATTTGGAAGGCAGAGTTAGAGAGTGGGAAGGAGAAAAGAGAGAGAGGGAGAGAGAGACCTTCTATATGTTGGTTTACTCCCCAGATAGCCCCAGTGGACAGGGCTGGGGCAAACTGAAGCCAGGAGCCTGGAACTCCATCTGAGTCTCCCACATGAGTATCAGGGGCCCAAGCGCTTGAGCCATCTTCCTATGCTTTTCCCAGACATTTAGCGGAGAGCCAGTGGGAAGTGGAGCAGCCAGGATTTCAACAGGCACTCATATGGGATGTCAGCCTTCAAGGCAGTGGCTTAACCCACTGTGCCATAACATCGGTCCTAATATGGCTGCTATTTTGATGGCTTGTCCACACAAAGTCCAAAAGTGGAAAACTGCTAGCCCCTACAGCAAAACAGGTAAGCATTCATTGCCCAAGTACCCACAAAGCAAAGATTTCAAAGCTAAGAACCTAGGTTTTAGGCCTAGGTGCCACTGGAAGAAGAGCCAAACAATTGTCTCACATAATAAATCCAGGATACTAGGGTGTGCAGAGGGAGGTGGAGAAGAGCTATAAAAGGTAAGACTATTTCCTCTCAACAGTCTATGCACAGGAATAATTTTATGCCGATTGCAGTGCAAATAATTATACATTACATTTTTTTGTACTCTATTAGTTACCACAGATCAGGGAAAACATATCCTATTTGTTTTTTTGGGACTTGCTTATTTGACTAAGTATAACGGTTTCCAGTTGCATCCATTTGGTTGTGAAAGACAGGTTTTCATTCTTTTTTACAGCTGAGTAATACTCCATAGTGTATTTATACCACATTGTTCTTTATCTAGTCATCAGTTGATGGGCATCTGTGTTGATTCTATATCTTAGCCATTGTGAGTTGAGCTGCAATAAACATGAGGGTACATATAACTCTTTCTTTTTTTTTAAAAGATTTTGTTTATTTATTTGAGAGGTAGAGTTACAGACAGTGAGAGGGAGAGACAAGAGAAAGTTCTTCTGACTATTGGTTCACTCCCCAAATGGCGGCAACTGCCCGAGCTGTGCTGATCTGAAGCCAGGAGCCAGGTGCTTCTTCCTGTCTCCCATACGAGTGCAGGGGCCCAAGGACTTAGGCCATCTTCTACTGCTTTCCCAGGCCACAGCAGAGAGCTGGATCGGAAATGGAGCAGCTGGAACTAGAACCGGTGCTCATATGAGAAGCCGGTGCCGCAGGCGGGAGGATTAACCTACTGGGCCACAGCATCAGCCCCTCTTTTTTGGTATTTATGTCCTGCACATTGCTTCAGGGGTCAGCCAGTGGTCCTCATTCATGCCTGCCTTCGAATCCCAGCTCAGCTCCTGCACATGCATTTATTTCCATAAGAGGGTGCATGCCCTTGGACTTAGTAAGCCCACTCTTAGGAATCCACCTTAAAGAATCAGAAATACAGAACAGCAGTATGTACTATCTTGTTTAGAATATGGTTATTTATGGTTAAACCAATAATGCTGGCATAATCTGTTGTCTATCTAGAAGGGGGAAAAACCACCTAGAACCCAACCTTGCACAATATTCTGAAATACAAAACACACTGGATAATTGTGGAGATGATTTTATTCAGTCTATTGCAAAGGGAGAGCCTTTATCATTGAGGACCTTGTAAAAGAACAGAAGCGAGTGTGAAGCTCATGGAAGCAGGTGAACGAGGAACCATCCTCAAGTCCATCTTAAGCAGTTCTAAGGAAGGACTGAGGCGGAATTTATCTGAGCCCTTGAGGAAGTCTGGACATGCATCTATTTCCTGACCATCCGTTCTTTCCGGGAACACAGAACTCAGACAGAGCTCAACACTGCCAATAGACAAAAATAAAATCCACCTGATCTTAGACTTTAATACTAATTTTAAAAACAAGCAGTGCAAGATACTTTAGAAGACTATTAGTTTAATCTTGAGATAGACAAAATCTAATTTGAACAAAAAGATAAATCCAGTGAAAGCAGATATATATGTGGCTATAAAAATATTTTATATTGTAAAAGACACCATAAGCAAAGTCAAAAGATAAATCAAAGAGGGGCTAGTGTTGTGGTGTAGCGGGTAAAGCTGTGCCCGCAATGTTGGCATCCTATATGAGTGCCAGTTCGTATGCCAGCTGCTCTGTTTCTGATATGGCTTTCTGTAAAATGTGTCTGGGAAAAGCAGCAGAAGATGGCCCAAGGGCTTAGGCCCTGCACCACACCCACTTGAGAGACCTGGAAGAAGCCCCCTGTCTCCTGGCTTCAGCCTGGCCCAACCCTGGCCTTTGTGACCATCTGGGGAGTGAACCAGCAGGTGGAAGATCTCTTTCTCTGTCCCTCCCTCTCTATTTCTGTAACTCTGTCTTTCAAATAAATAAATCTTTAAAAACAAAGATAAATCATAGAAAGATAAAATATATGCAATCCACGTCTCAGGTGAGGCTTAAAGACTTTCCATGAATGTTAGAGAAATCAAACAATGTAATAGCAAAATGCACAGAGGTTATGAATAGGCAGTTCACAGAGACAGATGCCTAAATGCTGAACCTCACCAAGGGAATAAAAGGTAAAACAAGCCAATTCCATTTTTCAACTCAGTTTAACAAAACTAAAGTGGCCAGTAATGGCAGGAAGAGGTGGGCATTCTCATACATTGTGGCTAAGAGTTTTGACTGCTGCAACCTCTTGGAAAATTAACCAGCAATACCGTTAATAGGAACACCTACTTCTGGAAGTCTGGCCTGTGGGTCCGATATATATCAGGATCTAGCCAGAGGATGCTTATTCAGCATTATCTAGCATTTCTGTGTGTGCATACACTTAAGTCAGCGAGGAGAGTGCCGAGGAAAGACACACCTGATTGGAGAGGCAGAGTGGAAGAGTAGGAAGGGTCGGATTACCGGTTTCTATGCACTGTCTGCATTCCTTCACTGGTTGCAGTTAGCACAAGTTACTTTCGTGATTACTGAAGAAGAATGTAATTTTTAAACTTTTTTAAAATAAAAAGAAATGCTTGAGAACAACTAACAAAATATCATGACCTACCTAATGGCAAGCAGCAGAGGAATGTAGATGGTATTGTAACCACACTCTGTAATTTTATCAAACCATCAAAATCCTGACAATGATCTTGCTAAAGTAAAGGAGATGATTAATTGCAATGTTGAGTGAAAAAGTAAGCTCAAAAGTTGTACACGATAATCTTGAACGGGCAAAAAAATTTCATGGAATAAAAGATGGGAGGAAAATGAATAACAACTACTTTGGAGTGGCAGGATTCTAGACGTTTTTTTAATTTTCTATAAGAAAAATATATCTTAATTAAAATGTGTTACATTTTTAAAAAATGAAGACCATCTGTGATTTAAATAACATCCATTATAACATGGGTAAGAGAAACAGTTTGGCTTTAGACATTTCTTCATCGGTTATCAAGATTCTGATCTTATATTCAGGTTTCCCAGGGGTCCTGGATTTGAAGGCTTCTTTTCTGTTCTTGCAGGAAGTAATGGCTGAACACAACCCCCAGTATCTCATTGAGCTCGAGGGAAATAAGCCACCAGAGGAGCTCTACATGGTAAGTGTGTGGTCCGTAAGGAATGTTCACGGTTTGGAACATCCAAGAGCTCTTTGGCAGTATTGTAGTTATTGCCATAAACAGAAATATATATTTACTTTTTTAAATGTTTTATTTGTTTATTTGAGAGGGTGAGTCACAGACAGAGGCAAAGACAGAGAGAAAGGTCTTCCACCCTCTGGTTCATTCCCCACGTAGCCTCAATGGCCATGTCTGAGCCGATCTGAAGCCAGGAGCCAGGAGGTTCTGCTGGGTCTCCCGCACAGGTGCAGGAGCCCAAGCACTTGAGCCATCTTCCACTGCTTCCCCAGGTCATAGCAGAGAGCTGTATCAGAAGTGGAACAACCAGGACACAAACTGGCACCCATATGGGATGCCAGTGCTTCAGGCGGAAGCTTAGTCTACTACGCCACTTTGCCAGCCCCCTATATTGACATTTTAACACCATTTTTTCTTGAAACATTTGTACTGACACTTTAAAAAACGTGATATCCTATTTATTCATTTTTCCATATTAAATCAAAACTACATTTGAATTTAAAAATCTCCAGATGACAAAATGTGTCTCAAAGAAAACAAATGGTAACTATTGAACACATGATAATATGCTTAACACTATTAATCATTAGAGAAACATGAATCCAAACTGTGCCCACTAGGATAGCCAAAGTAACAATAACAACAACAACAAAAACAACAACAAAAGATAATAGCAAGTCTTGATAAGGATGTAGAAAACTTGGAACTCAAAGATATTTTACAAAAATGAGTAAGCTAATACAAAAATACAGTAGCTGTATGCACCTGATAGGTGTCTGGCTTTATGACAAGGTCTGGGTTTACAGCTAGGAGTAGGCAAATGCATCCATAGATGACTCCCTTCATGTAGTATCAAATATATAGAGGTACATAAACATTTAAAGAACAATTTGTGTTATAGTCATGAGGGGTATAATACTACGGGAGCTCAGGCAGAAAGACAAAAGCTCGTCTGGTTAGGAGGGTACCTCTCTGAAATCATTTTTGCATTGAAACCTAAAGGGTGAGTAATCATTAGAAGAGGTGGACTGTGTTCAATGATACAGAAATGCTCTTGTACAAATGAAGACCCAGAGGTAAGAAAGAGCATAGAGAGTTGTGGGAACCGAATGTGGGACAGGGGTGTAAGGGGCTGGGGAGGAGGGCAGAACAGCACCCAGACTGGGAGGAAACAGGGGTTGCACCTGTGCATTCACAATTCCTCGTAGGGAGTAGGCAGTCAGTGAAAGGGTTGGGGTCAGAGAACAGAAGTGATCATTGTTTCTGTTTGGGAAAGATTGCTCAGACTGCCATGCAAAGCGAAGGCAGAAAGAGAATCAAGTTAGTGGAAGGAGGACTAGTTTTTAGCTTTTGTGGTCAATCAGGTCAGTGATGATGGCCCTACCTAGGTTAGTGATCCTAGGAGCAGACGGAAGAGGACAAGGACAGGTCTGAGAGAGATCTAAGAGGTCTGCAGTTGAGTAATCTAATGTAGGAATCACATGAGGGAGGAAAGGCAAAGACAGTGCTCTGATTTCTGGCTTGATTTCACTAGTGGGCACATGCTGATAAATGTTAGCATGGAGCCAAATGAGGGAAAAACTCCTTGCTTGAGGCGTACCCTTGCCAAGACCAGTGGTCTCCTCTTGACCAAGGCCAGTGGTCATTTTTCAGTTCTCCATCTAATTCAGTCTACCGGCAACGTTTGCCACAGCTGGCCATTTTTCCCTTCCTGCAGCCTCCACGCATCCATTGGGTTCTCCATCCCACACCACAGTAGTTCCTTTCTCCTCATGAGACACTCAAAATCTCTAACCTCTAGAGTTGAGGACCCCAGGGTTCTCCCACTGTGGGTTTCTCTCCATCCACTCTCTGTCCTGAGGAAACCTCATCCAGTGCACCAGCTTGACAGCTTAACTGCCTTCTCAACATTGGCAACTCTTTTTAAAAAAAAAAAATTATTTATTTATTTATTTGAGAGTTACACAGAGAGAGGAGGAGAGGCAAAGAGAGGTCTTCCATCCACTGATTCACTTCCCAATTGCCTCAACGGCCACAGCTATGCCGATCCGAAGCCAGGATCCAGGAGCTTCTTCCCTGTCTCTGGCGCAGGTGCAGGGACCCAAGGACTTGGCCCATCTTCCAATGCTTTCCCAGGCCATACAGAGTGCTGGATCAGAAGTGGAGTAGCCAGGACTCGAACTGGTGCCCGTAGGAGATGCTGGCACTGCAGGTGGTGGCTTTACCCGCTATGCCACAGCACCAGCCCCACACTGGCAACTCTTAAATTCATGTCACTATCCCAGATCGCCCCCTAATTTCATACTTGTAAACCCAGCTGCTGCCGAACTCCTGTATATCCAATTGGATGTCTAATAGTCATCTCCAATTTAAATGTGCAAGGTAAAACTCCACCACCACCACTTGGGCCAAAATATGCTACTCCCATGGTTTTTCTCTTCCAGTAAATGTCAAAACCATCCTTCCAGCTGAGTTTCTTCTGCATTTGCCCTCTCATCCCACATCGAATGTGTCAGCCTACACAGCAGGCTTCTCCTTCAACATATATTGAGTTTTACCACTATTACTACCTGAAACATGCTATCTTCAAGGTGGACGGTAGAAGCTTCCAGAGGCCAAATTGACACTTGCCAGTCCTGTTAAGGCCCCAGCTTGGAACAACTACTCTAACACTTCTGCCCACATGGCATTGATGAAAGCAAGTTGGACAGAGAAGCTCAACATCAATGGAGTGAGAATTGTACTGGAACAAAGGCAGTGAGCGAATTCACAAACAAAGGGCAGGAAGGTTGAATTGTGAATAAATAATGCAGTCTACCATAGATTGTCACATACCAGGAGGATTTTGTTTTTGTTTTTTCCCCATTTTTCTTTTTTTTTTATTTGATTAGTAGAGTTATAGACAGTGAGAGAGAGAAAGAGAAATGTCTTCCTTCCGTTGGTTCACTCCCCTAATGGCCGCTATGGCCAGCGCTGCACCAATCCAAAGCCAGGAGCTGGGTGCTTCCTCCGGGTCTCCCATGTGGGTGCGGGGCCCAAGCACTTGGGCCATCCTCCACTGCCCTCCTGGGCCACAGCAGAGAGCTAGACTGGAAGAGGAGCAACCAGGACTAGTACCCAGCACCCCAACTGGGACTAGAACCCGGGGTACCGGCGCCACAGGGGGAGGATTAGCCAAGTGAGCCACGGTACCGGCCATTTTTCACCATCTTTCATCTCAGATTCTCTATGCTTGCCACCATCCTCTCCTTCCTCCTTCTCCTTCTCCTCCTCCTCCTCTTTATTTTCACTTCTTTTTTTTTTAAAGATTTTTTTTCATATAGTTTCTGTATCGAGTTTCCTAAGATTGCCATGACAAAGTACCACAAAGTCGGTGGCTTAAAAAGACAAAAACTTACTCTCTCATGGTTCTGGAGGCTAGCAGTTCAAAACCCAGGTCTCCGCAGGGCCACACTCCCTCCGTAGCCTCTAGCGGAGAATCCATCCTCGCGTCTGCGAGCTTCTGGTGGCTCTCAACATTTCTTGGCTCACAGCAGCATCACTGCAACGTGTGCCTCCATCCCCACATGCCTGTCTTCCGTTGGCTGGAAAACAGCCTATAGACCCAGCCCTCCAAGGTGACTATTAGAGCCCAGTGGGCAGATTACTGGGAGTTGAAACAAATGATACATGCTTGTGAATGTGACCTTATTTGTTTTGTCTTCAAAGATTTATTTATTTATTTATTTGAAAGGCAGAGGGGGGAGGGGGAGAGGTCTTCCATCCGTTGGTTCACTCCCCAATTGGCTGCAACAGCGGGAGCTACGCCAATCCAAAGCCAGGAGCCAGGAGCTTCTTCGGGGTCTCCCACATGGGTGCAGGGGCCCAAGCTCTTGGGCCATCCTCTACTGCTTTCCCAGGCCATAGCAGAGAGCTGGATCGGAAGTGGAGCAGCCAGGACTGGGGACTCAAACCGGTGCCCACATGGGATGCTGCCACTGCAGGTGGCGGCTTTTTACCCGTTATGCTGCAGCGCCTGCCCTGAAAGTGACCTTATTTGGAAATAGGATCTTTGCATATATAGTCAAGTTCAAATGAGGGCATGCTGAATTAAGGTGAGTGGTAGTCCAATATGGATTAGAAGAAACTCGGATACCTGTGGGAAAGATGGCTATATAATAAGAGACAGAGATTAGAGTGATGCATTTATGTGAGGACTTCAAAAAGTTCATGTGAAATAGATATTATGAAAAAACTATGCCTGAACTTCAAAATACTTTGCACAAAGTAAAGTTTCTTGTCTTCCATGTTCTGTGAACTTTTTGAAGCACTGGCATACAAACCCAGAAACACAAAGAGGGTCCTAACACATCACCAGAATCCAGGTATATTCAAGCAGGAATTCTACCCAGCCTATTGCTTCTTCAGACTATTTGTAGTAATCACTTACCATTGTATTTAAACATTTTTTTCTTTAGACAGTTTTAGAACGACTTAAACATCTGAACCTGAAAAGAGCAGCTATTATAACCAAACTTCAAAGTGCAGAAGAAGAAATTGACATAATGGAAAATGTAAGTTATAATTAACCACTTGAAATCCTACCTTTTCAATATATCTTGTGGTCTTAATTATCGTTTCAAGATTTAAAAGGAGTAACATAGTATTAGCAACATGTTCTCTTTTTTTGGACACTTTTTAAAAATTTATTGTTTAAGGATACAGATTTCTTAAGTACAACTTTAGGAATGTAGTTATTCTTCCCACCATACCCACCCTTCCACCCACACTCCCACCTTACATCCTCCTCCCTCTCCCCTTGTCAGTCCTGTTCTCCATTGAGATTCATTTTCAGTTAACTTTGTACACAGAAAACCAACTCTGTACTAAGTAAAGATTTCAGCAATTTGCACACACACACATACACACACACACACCTGTTTGAGAACTATTTAATTCTCATAGTATAATTCATTAAGGACAGAGGTCCTACATGGGGAGCAAGTGCACAGTGACTCCTGTTGTTGATTTAACAATTAACACTCTTATTTATGACGTCAGTGATCACCCGAGGCCCTTGTCATGAGCTGCCAAGACTATGGAAGCCTCTTGTTCCACAAACTCTGACAATATTTAGACAGGGTCGTAATCAAAGTGGAAGTTCTCTCCTTCCTTCAGAGAAAGGTACCTCCTTCTTTGATGGCCCCCTCTTTCCACTGGGATCTCACTCACAGAGATCTTTCATGTGGGTCATTTTTTGCCACAGTATATGATCACTTTAACACTTAATCCTATCTGTATGTGCACTTTAACACTTAATGTGATCAATTTAACAAGATGGCATTGCAAAATATTTTTTTAGACACTAAACACAACAAAAGTATTGAGACAAAGAAAAACAATAAAATCAGAACAATTAACCATAGGAATAATGAAAAAAACCGAGATAAGTTTAAAATTTTTCTAGCACCAATGAGAGCAAAACATAAAATTGTCAACTCTGTAAACACTCATTCATTCCTTAAATCATTCAACTAATTTTTTAAGTAAGTACTATGTCGCTGGCAATGATGTACTGCGGATATGATAGTGATCAAGTTATAATTGCTAAGTACTAAAAAGATCACAAGGACTTTTAAGATTTAACCTAGGGGCTGATGCTGTGGTGTAGTGAGCTAAAGCTTCTGCCTGTGGCACTAGCATCCCATATGGGCACCGGTTCCAGTCCTGGCTGCTCCTCTTCTGATCCAGCTCTCTGCTATGACCCAGGAAAGCAGTAGAAGTGACGAAAGTGCTTGAGCCCCTGCACCCACATGGGAGATCTGGAAGAAGTTCATGGCTCCTGGCTTCAGATCGGCCCAGCTCTGACCACTATGGCCATTAGGGGAGTGAACCAGCAGATGGAAAACCTCTTTCTCTGTCTTTCCTTCTCTTTCTCTGTAACTCTACCTTTCAAAATAAATAAATAAAATATTTTTAAAAGAATATCTAACCTATTCTGGCAAGTTTAGTTTCAACAATATGAATAGAATTTTTTAAGTGCCAGAATCATAAAGGTTTAAAATAACCTCTGAAGAAAGAGGCCATGTTGTTAACCATACCATGTGGACCCAGAGATTTCAGAGGGTCAGTGTAGCATGAACAGGTGCTGAAGAGGGAAGAAAGGCGGGCATGACCACCACAGAGGTTACCTCCCCTATTCCACATCATTATTGAAGGAAAAAAAGGAAATACCCCACAAATCGTATGGGAAATTCCCCAGTTAGAAAGTAGACTTTTAGGAAATCCTATACACACAAGCATAAGGTTGTTGTAGTTCATGAGATGTATGACCAAGTGTATCTGCCCCCTATTTCATGTCAGAGTCATACACCAGAGCTGCTATTCACATCCCCTAAACAGTTTTTCCTCCTGGCAGGGCAGACCACTTCCAAACAACTCCTGGGAAGCTGACTACATGTGCAAATTCCTTACATCCAAATCCCAGACTGGTTAAGCCAGAATGTCTGGAAAATGGGACATAGAAATCTTTTTCGCCTGGTCCAAAACTACCTGCTCTGCCCATTTAAGTCTGGGAACACCTGCTTTCATATTTGGGACACTAAAAGAGCCTGGGCAATTAAAGAGGGTTGATCTGAAATTTCCTGTGTGTTTTGAAGGACTTTTTTTTAAGATTTATTTTATTTATTTGAAAATCAGAGTTACACAGAGAGAGAAGAGAGGCAGAGAGAGAGAGAGAGAGAGAGAGAGAGAGAGAGGTCTTCCATCCACTGGTTCACTCCCCCGCTGGGCTCAATGGCCAGAGCTGCGCCAATCCGAAGCCAGGAAGGTTTTTTGCAAGATGAACTTTTTTTTTCTTTTTTTTGACAGGCAGAGTGGACAGTGAGAGAGACAGAGAGAAAGGTCTTCCTTTGCCATTGGTTCACCCTCCAATGGCTGCCGCAGCCGGTGCACCGCACTAATCCGAAGGCAGGGCCAGGTGCTTCTCCTGGTCTCCCATGGGGGGCAGGGCCCAAGTACTTGGGCCATCCTCCACTGCACTCCCTAGCCACAGCAGAGAGCTGGCCTGGAAGAGGGGCAACCAGGACAGAATCCGGCGCCCCGACCGGGACTAGAACCCGGTGTGCCGGCGCCGCAAGGGGGAAGGAATTAGCTTAAGGGAGCCACGGCGCCCCCCCCCAAGATGGGACTTTTCCGAAATGGAGGCTTTTTCATCTAAAGGGTCTGTGGAATTTCAAATTTTGAAAAAAAAAATGCCAATAGGGACCCTTGATCCCCACTGCGGGGGCCCAAAGGGGAAAAACACCCCAACACCCCTAGGGGGGAGACGTTTTTTTTTCCCCCCAAAAAATGGATCAGGAGGGCCCCTTGTCCCAAAA